GTATTCACAACTTTCTCACATAATTTAACAATCAATTTTTGCAAATTTTATATTTAAATTTGATAGATGTAGATCGATGTCTCTTTTCTCAAGTGTCGAAGATATGTCAGAAAGTGTTTTTTTTTTTTTTTTTAAGTTGTCCGTTAATATCAGTCATAGTAATATGAATTATTCATTTATTATCAAAGAATCGAAGGTTACATTATTTCAAAAATTCTGAGCGCAATATGTGAGTTTTGTAATGTCATCTTGTATTAGTAGGAAATAGTTGGAAAAAGTTACGTCAGCTCATTTGATATTTATTATCAACTTTTTTATTTCACATATTTGGATGGAACGCATATCGACACCATTAACACATCCTCGCGTATTTATTTAAAATCTAAAAACTCCTTTATAGATATTGCAGTATTTTAATAAGACTACAAGAATGTTGATTAGATAAGTAATTAACATTCGGCTTGAATCTATATACGAAATTTACACCGCAATAATTATATGTTATTACTTTGTTTAGATTTTTAGTATCACGCTGGTGAGGATATCTACTTTCGCGTGCGCAATTTCCTCCTTAATGCCGAGCAAAAAGATAAATGGATAAACAAATTTACTTATTCGTTATTTTATACACGTAAAAAGAGATGGCTCGTCTCATGGATATAAATCGTACTCTATTTTTCTTCCCAAACATACTTCCTTTTGCTACATCGCGAGCGTTATAATCAAATATTAACCCTGAGCGTAAAATAAGTTTAATTTTATCGCGATCACACCTCGCGCCCGTAACCTCCAGTTCTGAACGCTAAATATAAATAAATAAGAGGGGTCCAAACGACATAGATAAGTCGAGGAAGTCGCGCGGCGCAACAGTGGCTTAGCACTCTTTGAAGAACGCGAGAGAATTAATCTGAAAAGTTGAGGAAATTACATTTGCATCAATCTTGCCAAGTTGTTGAAAAAGTGAGAGACCATTATTACGTTTCGGTTTCGGTCCGCCGTCCTAGTGAAAATGTTATTCTTTTCCAAAGTTGTACCACTTACACGGCTGCATTTGCGAAAAGATTCGCGTAGACGCGCGCGGCTGAGCACATTGCGGGGAGTGAATTCGGCCGAAACAACAGGTATCGTCAGCAAACGCGGAGCGCTCTCGGTAAATTTGCGACGCGAATCAAAATACCCGTCCGATTATTCACGTTCTCGTTTACCTTCTCGTCCTCGTGCGGCGTGGGTGGCGTGGGCGGCGTGTACATTCGCGGCGCGTAGTCGCCGATCGAGGAAGCGCCGCCGGTGGAGGAGCCCTGACTCCTCGGCGGACTGAGGTCCGGGATAGCGGCGTGATAGTCCTGGTGGAGTCCGGTGGGCATCACCCCCGGCGGCACCACGGGCCGGTACTCCATCGCGCGCACCTCCATGCCGATCGCACCCGGTCCCTCGGCCGCGGCAGTCGCGCGGCACTACTACTACGGGCCTCCACTCCCGCGTTTTCGGCCACCTCCTCGTGGTCGCGATCCTCCGCCTCTTCCTCCTCCTCGTCGTCGTCGTCGTCGTCGTCGTCGTCGTCGTCGTCGTTGTTGTTGCCGTTGCGGTGATCGTCCGGCGGCACAGGACACGCGCGTAGAAACGCGCGGGACTGACCTTGATGTGTCCCGCACTTTGAAAGTCTCAGCTGCTACGACCTTGCTCGACGTCGCGCCTCGGCGCGATCTCGCAACTCATAATTGCCGATCTTTCGGCAGGATCTTCGGCGGAACGACGGCGGTCTCTCGGCGCGGACGGCGGCGCGGGGACTCATCGATTCCTCGCGCGATTCGCGACGGTGGTCCCGCTCATCCTTCTCGATCGCGCACACCTCGCGCGGTGGCACGCGCGTCGCGCGGACGGAAATTCGATTGGCGGAATCAACCGGGAGACCGAGAGAGGGTTTTCGAGAAAGAGAACCCGGAGAAAAAGAATTCACTCACGAAGGATGTTCACTCTCGTCGTTGGTGTTGGCGCCGTCGCCGCGTGTTCGCGCGGTTTCCGCGAGCAACAGCGATTTCGCACCGGCTTACTTGTGGAAACAAAAATGCTGATCTGTGACAAGGTGATGTGTACGCTCCGCTTTTGAATATTGTTCTTTCTCTCTCTCTCTCTCTCTCTCTCTCTCTCTCTCTCTCTCTCCCTCTCTTCTCTCCCTCTTTGTCTCCACCGCTCTTTCGAGCCATGCCGCGATCACTCCATCTTCATCGTTCGCTCGTGTCTCCTTCCTCTCCGCTTCCCTCCCTCTCCGAAGCTTCTCTCTTTCTCTCACTCTCACTCTTTGCGAGATTTATCCGTGTGCCACTGAACCGAGCGCGTCTATTTTACGGATGCAGGGTTACTCCGTTGGCACCCTGAATAAAGCCGATGACAAGTAATTTTTTTTTCGCGACATTTTTTTTCCATCACGAGTAATCTTTCTTTCGATCGAAAGAGAGAAAAAAAAGTCTGTGCGCGCCGGCGACGTCTCGGTGGAAGCGTTTCTAGAGCGCTGTATCGGTCGGCCGGTCGGCTAGCCAATCGATCGAGCCGATCGAGATCATGGAATGTCGGAGAACGCGTGTAATTATCGTGCAATCGGTAGCGAGTTCGCGAACCGTCCGCGGGCATCCATAAATCAGAATAATAGTACGCGATTGCTCGATACTGCCGTCATTATCCGTTGTTTACCGGCTCCGCTGGGTATATTGCTTCCTTTGCCCGAGAAAACGATCATTTTCTTCGAGAAGCACTCGTGTCCAACGATATTACATTTTTTTTTATATATCACATAATGTATATTTTTCCGTAAATCGGCGTTTTTCAAACGCCGATCTGAAAGGTAAAGGCTAAACAAAATTCAAGCTGATTTCGTAACTACAGTCGTGAAAAAAAATCACTCGCGACTCGATCCGATAGTCGAGTAGTCAAGAGCGTGAAACGAATAATCCCAAAATTGCCTCGCGACCGCCTCTCTACGTTTCGTTTGACAAATCGGGGTGCACTCGGCGGTTAAAGCGGCGATAATTAAGTAACGATATCTGTACCCTTCCGCTCTGATTCACCCTTCCTGCTCTCCCGCTATCCTTCTCGTCTTGCGTAATATTGTCCCGTCGAAGCGAACAGTTCGCGCTCGACAAGGACGCGCGAAGAGACGTCATCCGTTTCGGCCAAAGACATAAATATATCCGATGAAAATTTCTCCGTCGCGCAAAATACAATAAACAGGGAAAATAATCGCCATTCCTGCTTATGCTCGCAAGTAGCGGCGCATAAATTTCACGAGGGGAAAAAAAACCGTCGCGCGGCGATCATTGCGACGCGATGTTAATCGATTTGTCTGGAGAATAGAATGTACTTTTTGCCAGTTTCGGCCGAGGTTTTACCGAACTTGAGGTGAAACCTGTTCCCGTGATCGATCGCTTATGGAATGTGAACTTTAGCTCGTCTAGCCAAACTCCCGTGCACACGCGCACATGCAACCGCATAATGGATGCGCGTATGCACCTACGTTGACGTTGGCGATAATTATAGCGATAATTAATCGCGATGCCGCACACGTGCCATTGTGCGTGCGCACGCGTGCATCTAACGCGATTTTATCTCATCTCCTTTTTTTTTCTGCCGTCCATAAAACTCCTCTGATGCTCTTTTTTTTCGATTGTCTCGGAATACGTAAGAGAATAGAGTTACGTCTTTTTTTTCGTTTCGTTTCGACTTTTTTCTCCATCTCGTCAGCTTCTCGTCGACCGCCTAACAGGTTTACAAGATCTCGATATCGTTCACATATCTTATCGCTTCTAGGTGGATATTTTCTTCTTCGTATAATATGTAGACATTAGCAAAAATCTATAATCGCAGATGGTTACGTTGAATAAAAGTAATATTAATGTAATTAATAAAATAACAGATTGCAGATTAATAATTGTCACCATCAACGATGCAAATAAAATAAAGCACGAAATTTCTCGCATTCGACTTTTTTCCGAGTTTCTTCCTTGTTATTGAAGAAACGGCGCGTCCTTGGGTCGACTTTCGCGCTGACTGCATCCTTCAGCGATCCGTAATTATTCGAATTTCCTCACTCGATTTAAACAGTTGATTCTCGTTCGCTCCCACCGAGAATCGTTCACGCCGGGGAAAACGCATCGTCATACATGGTTGCCTTCTGTTGCCTCAACCGCTTTCCTCACCCCCGGATCTGACGCCGAAAAATCCGCCCGGGTGCAAGGTGACGCATCGTTTTCTTTTACGCCGACTCCCGGCGTTTTCGTGGCGCGCTCGCTCCCGCTCATCCCGTAAACTCGCCGAGGATAATCTTTTCGCATTATAATGGAACACGCGGGCCGCCTCTTGTTCGGCGCTGATGGCAAGTCGAAATTTGTCAAACGCGCCGTGTTATGTCTCCATAAACGCGGCTTTTCATCCTCCGCTTTAGCGCTGGAGCATCATATTTTACGTCTTTTACTAGGTCACGATACACGTTCGCTCCCTCCCCCGACAAGCGGGAGTAAGAAATACTGCTTCCGCATTCAGGAACGAGCGGAATTAAAGAGCGAATCAGATTAAAGATTCGCGGTTCTCCGGGGACGAATAGTGATCCGGTGCGCAGCTAACTGCTTTCCGATGAACAAGAAAGTATTACTAGAGCGAGTTAAAGTGAGCGCAAGTGCGAACGACTTTTGAATTTTAAATCCGATTCACCCTCTCGCAACCCATTAAGCCGTCCTTCACTCCCGATCTCAGTTACGTTTTTACAGACTATCAAGACCAAAAAAGTCCCGCTTTAGGCGCCACCGGGGGAGAAAAAAAGAAGCGTGCCACGGCCGTTTTTGCTTTCCGAGTCGTTGTAATGACTCGATTGCTTCATTCTTTTCGTCTCAAACTCTCATTTTTTTCGCCCTCTCTCTCCCTCCATCATCCCTTGCCTAACTTGATACTTGGTCGATCTGTGTGCGGTTAACCAAGTTTTTTACGACACATTTTAGCCGCTCGTTGTTGATGTCACCTGCTCCCTTTTTTTTTTAAAGACCAAACTTTACTTCTCAAGCCTCTTTTTCCATCCTCTGTCGTACTAACTTCCACTTTTTTTAGCGTGCCGACACTTACGAACAGTTGGATATATTGACACGGATGACTAAAAAAGGAACGAAGAGTGGCGGATTCTAATAAGGGCTGACAAAAATGGGGATATGCGGTTAGTCAATCTGTCACATTTTATACATCAAGTCACAATGTGATAACTTCCACTTTTTTCTTGTAATGTCTATTTATTTGTTCTATTTAACCGGTATAAATAATAACAAATTACACGCGGATAATTAATTCTATATGACGAGGAAATCGTCATGATTTAATTGTCTGTTAATTAAAGACACATAACTTTTTGTCTCCGTAAAATAATCGTACAATCCATGTGCCAGAAATAGAAATAACTAATAAATGGGAGAAATTCTTGTACAACAGTAGATTCTCATTAAAAAAAATATAATCAATTATTTAATAAAAAAAATCTAATTCTTGCTACGAAAGACCATTTCTTTTGCGAGAAACTAGCTCTGCTGTACGTCTCTTCATTAATAAACAACTAATTAAGATCATTAGACATTTCAGCCCAATTATTTTATTGACGCAAGGAATTAACGTTCTTTTTTCGTAAACTGGATAGCCCAATTTGTAATACTGCGAACTGCGAATTCACCGAATCGCCCTGGAATATCGCTTATAGCTGACTATAGCGTGCTGTGAAATTCTAATTTAAGCCAAGAGTTTGCGCAACTTTTGCTACAATGAGTAACGCGTGGTAGAAGCCGACGGATTTTCCCAACCGACGAGTGTGTGTGTGTGTGTGTGTGTGATAATTATCTGGTTATTCGCGCGAATGGATGTATCGTGGGCCGCGTAGGGAACAAACCTAAGAGGGTAGAGAGAGAAAAATAGGTAAAAAAAAGGTGATTTTTCGGAACCGTGCCCCTCCGTGCGAGTCGAGCGGAAAGAAACCGCCACGCTTCGGCTCACGGCTGCCATATGTCCACGTTTCTGAGGCATTTTCGCGCTAGGACACCTTTCGCTCTTTGAGGACGCCATGCGCCCTTCGACCAAAAAAGTGCAACGTGCCAAGAGATTCATTATTCAAACTTATCGTTGCATGATATCTCTGCTATTTTGACGCACATACACGAGTAACATTTTGAGTTGTCGTATCTTGTATTCTTTGAAATTACAGACGAATCTTCTGCATGCGATTTGTGGCAAATTTGTAATTCTTTTATAATAAATTTTATAAAATTTTGACTTGGAATCTTGCGATGTAAATGTCTCGAGTGGAATAAATGATTTCAACACTCAAATGATCGTGTGCTTGTTTCTCATAAATTTATCATTGCAAAAACATTTTAACTTTAACCCACTTAATTAGTAATCAACAATACAAAAACAACTGTAGCAATTGTAATATTTACGATTGGAAAGATCATCCGGGGCGTACATATACGAAAGCGGGCAAAAATCTCGAGGCGATCGAAGAAATAAAAGGACGCCTATCCATCGTTTCGTCGCCTTGAGCAGCTTAAACTCCTAAATCGTTTGTAGCGAGGTATCGCGGTGTGATATCTTGTCGCGGATGCATCAGACGACAAGAAAGGCGTGAGCGAAATCCGAAAAAAAGAGGAAAAAAAGGAGGGGGGGGGACACAGGCGGTGCCGACAGGCGCGCAGATAGAAATCGCTTTTAAGACGTCCGCGCAAGTAGGCGCCTTGGCACGTTTCATTATGATTAGGAGCGACCAAGCGTGGCACGAAACAGCGCGGCGTGGAGACCATTCCGTCGCCTAGCCTTACCTTCCAATATACCGAAAAGCAGCGGAGCGTGGATCGCGGTCGTTTCGCGTCTTCGAGAAAACCGTAACCGATCGAATCGCGGCGTGCGGATTGTCTCCGTCGTGTCGAACGTGTCGTGGAAACGCGCAACCTCGCCGCCCGTCTCTCGCGTCTGCGCGCGTTTGCCTATAATAATAATAATAATAATAATGATAATAATAATAACAATAATGACGGAATAAACGAGAGAGAGAGAGAGAGACGAACGTCACCGAGCCGAGTTGAGCTCCGCGGTGCATGTCTTTCTCTTCGCCGTTACGTTTTTTTCCTCGCCAAGTGTAGCGTTCGTGCGTGAGAAATTGCCAATACGATCAGACGTGATGTATCGATGTAACGTTTAGCGACGGAAAACCCCGGCTGTCCTTCTCGCTCTTACTACGTTGCGACACATGTCGCACGATGAAATCACCGTCCGCAGATCAATCCGAGTATCTCCGATACGCTACGAAATTGTGCGCCAAAAGCCTCGCCAGAAATAATAACGAAATATCGCAATGTACCGCGATGGACATCGATGCGAGAGATTACTGAATCACTGCGGTCGATTGATCGGCGAGTTTAATGATAGCGATCGGTCAGTACGTCACCCTTATTAAGGGGATCGAGTCAACGGCGACCATTCTCTCCCCCCCTCCCGCTCCCCCCTTGCTCTTTTCCCCGCCGTTTCGAGCGCTCGTCAAACGGGGGTCAGCCGCGATCACGGTCCGGCAAAAAAACCGGTCGGAATGATTCCCGAACGCACGTTACACGTCGCATCTGTGCTTCGGATCTGCATATGGTCCGCACAGTTTCTCGCTGGCGCACACATTCATCCCCCCGTGAGCTGTTTTTTTCCCTCTCCTTTTTCTCCTGTCTCGTATCGGCGCCTCCCCGTCTTGTTTAAGTACGGTGGACACACCGGCGGCGGCTGCGTCCGCTCGCCGCCGTTTCGGTGGTTGCGCCGAAGCAGGGGAGGCTTTCGGAAAGGGAAGGCCAAATTTCCGCGCGCGCGAAAGAGGGGCCTCGTAACCGGGCCGACTCTAATTTTAACCGTGCGTACAAATCGTTTGAATGACAATGACGCCGCGCCGTAGAGCGTCGCGCGGAGAGCGCTTCAAGACGACGATTTTCCATTCCTTGCTCCACCGCTCTTTCACATCCCTCTCGCCAATTTTCCGTCCCTCTCCGATCCGTGGGACGCTCGTTCGATCAAGCCGGCGCGACGTAACCCGATATGCAAATATTTTTCCCACTTAAGCGCGAAGATTAATGATGGTCGCGGAAAATTGGCGGCTTCCTTATGCCGAATTCATCGCGATTTTGTCGCGCTGCATTCCAGGGGATTTAATTTTCGATTTTTCTACCCCGCCGCTACGGGGAGGATTCCGTGGGATCCCGACGGCGCGTACGTTGAGGTGATTTTTCAGACGCGAAACATATGCCGTATGTGCGCGAGTGTTTCCACTTCCGTATGCAAATTGCGATGGATCGTGCGTATACATCGAATACTCTTAAAAGCGCAACAATCGAACGCAGTTTTTTGTTACAATCTGAATAAAATTTTTGTCAAACGCATTCAACGTTTTCTGTCAATAATTTTAGAGAGCATAAAATAAAAACTTTTTCAAAATGGAGTGTTTTAAATTGCTACGCCAAACAAGGTCATCGCGATAAACATAAATGACGAGTTATCATTTTATTATCGTACACATTATGTATACTTGCTCAGCCGGAGATCAACTAAACGCGATAATCGGGCAAAACCAAATGACCAAATCGAGTTCCATTAAAAAGAAAGAAATCGAAGAGAGTCTCTCTCCCCGCGCTGCTTGTAATACGAAGAACTTTCAGCCGTTTGTGTATAAGAAACGGTCACGGCTTGACGTTCCCGTCACGAATAACACGCGACAACAACGAGAACATGTACTCCGTTGGGCCAACTCGGTACGTTTTTTTCGATTCCACCTCGGCCCCCGCACAGATCCCATAGCCGGACGAATTAGGGACGGGTGTCAAAGCGTAGCCGAGGCCTGGCTCTTTTCGAACTCCTCCTGACACTCCCAACACCCGGTTGCTCCTTTATGATAAATGTAGAAAGACGCGAGGAGCGCCGAATCGACGACGAGATATTATTGTCGATTTTATTAAAAATGCGCGTGACAAGACAAAAGATGCAAGGTGTCACAAGTGGAGTGAAAGATTTCACGCGCCATCTATTAATAATATTGAACCTGTGAATTGCGCTTAAATCGATTACACTTGAATAATCGAAAAACAAAGTTAGGTTATTTAAGAAAAGCAGAAAATGTAAATAACTTATATCTTTTTTTCAGAGAAAACTTGCAAAAATCCAAAATCGTGGATGTGTACTTTCAAGATAAATTAAATAAATAAGATCGTTTGTGCAAAATTAAAGCGGAATTTTCTCCTGCAACATGGATTTACAATTTGTAAGTACTTTGTGCTACTATATTGTCCTTAAATAATCGCATTTGCAAACTTCAGCAGAGGCTGCTAGCTTCTAATTCGTGTATATGTTGTAGCTTGTAGAGAACTTGTGCTTGTTTACATGATTATAGATAGAAATATATCGAAACACGGCCATTTTACTTGCGTCTCTTTTGAAAAATTTTCAAATTTTACCGTTATTCGAAACTTTGAAAGGGCAATTCTCGCAACCAATTGTGCCGTTTTGAGTAGCAAAAACGAAACGTTACATATTTATAGAAAACTCGAATGCCTTGATTTCTCGCAAACATTGTTAGCCATTAGACAGATTTTAAACACAGATAACTATACCTTTTTTTTCGAGAGGCGACGTACTGAGATATGATTTGTGGATAGAAAAACTGACGTGGAGGTTATATCTTCTTAGGTAAATTATATACGTTTCGCCTAAATGTTACCATTCTGTCGCGCATTCTAACCTGAAATTTTTTTGCAGTTTGATGAGAAAAAATCGGGAGAAAAACACTAGTCCATGCCAAAAGGATTTAGAAGTCTCAAAAAAACCGAACAGAGAGTAGAGAGGAAGTTCCGTTAATAACGAAAGGATCTACATTTACTTCTACACGATGAATTTACGATTATTTCGCAATAGTCTCCGTTGAGCCTTGTCTCCGTTTTCCTTTTTTTTTCATTGAATTCTTTTACACCGAAAAGAGACCGTAGAAGATGTATGGAATAAAGGGTGGTAGAAATATTCATAAGGCATACGCAACAAGAGAAGAATTCAGTCGTAAGTTTCACACCGAATCAGGTCTTTGACAGTGGACGCTTTCCATCACTCGCCTTGTGATTTCTATTTTTATTCCTTTTTTTCCACAAACTTTTGAAAGAAACATGCTGATATAGTAAATCTTTATCGGAGCCGAAATATTAGACGCTAGAGAGAAGCATTTTTTGTTCTTCAGACGTTAACAATCTATAAGCAATCTTTAAAAATCAAAATTAATATATTTCGATCGAGATGTGCGAAGACGTTTGTCAGAAATATAAGTATATATAGATGTAAAAAAGACATGTTTGTCAAAAATAGTACCTATACATTGAATGCCGAATCAAAATCAATTTGCATCTTTTGAAATCTGGTCAAGGGCGTACGAACGAACGACAGCGTTTCCCAAGACATTTCGTCACCGGTAGAAATGAGAATTACAGTGGAGGGCAGCACTGGAGCGGAGAACATATTATTTACCTACGAATGTGCAATATGGGCGTTACTGGAAATACCTATCTCGCACGATCTCGGAGCCCGATGCGGGCTTCGCGGCCGGACAGGACGAGTTGAGGGTCCACGTTTTTGGGAAAATTTCTCAAAAATGCAGGAAGTCGCAACAACGGCCACGAAACATATGCGTAACCTCTGTCTGAGGTCAAAGCCGCGTAGCGCACTCTCCTCCCTCTTTCGATCTTCGGGGTCGGCCGAGGTCATGGGAACTCATGGGGGTCCAGCGCATACCCGGGTCCTCCGAGATCTCCCCTCCACCCCCCACCCTTCTCCGCACTCACCACGCGACAGGGTGTTTTTCCGTCGCGTCATCGACGGCCAGGTGAGCGGGTGACTGAATGACCGCGTGACCGAGAAATCCGGCTAAAAATCGCAAAGCATAGCGATAGCAAAGTTTGCAATTCTCAAGCGTTTTACAAGGATTCGAGCTAACTATTCTAATCTAAGCGCTTCCAGATGTTAACGTGGAGAATCAAATGCATTTTTGCTTCTGTAACTATACGATATTCTTCTATTCAGGATAATATTTCTTTTATTGTATATAAAAATTTGAATAAAAATTAAAAGATAAGAATTCATCTCCCAACCTTGACCTTGACATATGTTATCAAGGTCCTGAGTGACAAAAAAAGGTTTTAGCCGGTGGTCATTGTTTATTAAAAAGTTATTAACGAAAGAAGTTTCATTTAATAAAACGTAGCAGATTTGTTTATTTAAACATAATAAACAAAATGTGTGGGCAGAAAAAGAGCGGAGTCCTGGTTAATACTTTTTTTTTCTAATATAAACTATGTGAATTTAAAAATTATACAACAATTATGTGCTTATAAGCTATCATCATAGTATAACGATAATTTTGTATCAGTAGTTTATTCCAAAGTTCACTTCATTCGCGTTACAATTACAAATTAAATAGGCCGAAGCTGAAACGGCTACTTTGGCGAGAATGATTTTAAGGGAGATCCGTGTCAAGTTTGACGTGGCGTGATCGGAAGCTGAATTATTAAGCATATTGAGGCTTTCAATCAAGCACCCAAAAGAATTACCTAGCGAAGAGGGCAGAATAGGAGAAAAGTTACGCAAATCGATCGATAAATATAGCGTGCGATCAATAAGCCTGCTAAACGGGCCGCGTTACGAACCCTTCCTCGAATCAAAAGAGAGAAAGGAGAATTAGGACAACCTAGCGCACCTGTCGATAATCCGCTGGCCCTCGATAGATTTTCGCAAGACGCATTACTTGCGATCTACACGTTGTTTCGCTCGACATTAGTCATGCAATAGCCAGATGCAATTTTTCTTAATCACATCGAATCAAGTGTATGCTGCGCGTATTAATTATCCATATGCTGAGTCTAAACGTATTTTGGTATAATATCTAAGTGTGAAATGTATATTTTCAATTTAATGAAGTAATTACATCAGTAGAGAAATATATTCGAGAATGAAGAAGTCTTCTCGGTAAAAGTCTAATTTCAAAACTGTCACTTATCGCGACATTTGGATATCTTTCAATACGTCGTTGACGGTTGGGTTTCGAATAAAAAGGTAAAATCGATGCGGCACTAGTTATCCAACGATTAAGATCAACGTTTATGATTATGAATGGAGCGTATCGAAACCCTATAAACGCTCGTTGCCACCCATTATGCGCCGCGAGAAAATCACGCGACGTGAATCGATCGTTACGAAGTAACGAGGGACGATCAATGGGGAAATCCGTCGACATCGAACCCCTTTTTTTCCCGGCGCGGAGAAACACGATGGCACAATGAGAGACCGTCTACAAAAAGCTGGTGCACCTGTAAGCAGCAAGCGCGCCGCTACCCTTAATATTTTGATGGCTCAATACCGCCGACAATGCTATCGAGGTGGATTTATATGTACGAACGCGAGGAGAGAATCGTAAAGAGGATAGGGGTAGGAGGGCGAAGAGCACGAACCCCTTTTCCCGATCGCAGTTCAATACCCAAATTGGCTCGAGCAACAAAGCGATGGGGCCCGCATGAAACCGCACGGCCGTGTTCAAGCCGCAAAGCGGAAACCCCCTTTCTTCGAGTGGCACACGCCTCAAACAAGGAGACGAAAGGTGTTACAGATTAGGAAATATCAAAAGGCCGCTTTTTGTAGAGCGAAGACGCGTGCGGGCGGGCCAAGTCGTCGACGACTATCGCCTGTCCGTTTCACTCGCACGTCAAACGGTGATTTTCAGTTGAAATATTGATTTCGTTAATATTTCGTCAATATTTTCTCGCATCAAAATATTCAAAAGAGAAATAAGAAAAGATTTTTATCGCAGGAGCGCAATTTTTATTCGTAATCAAAATAAAATTACTTCATAATTAATTTCTTTAATAAACTTTGTTAATCAATTTTTTTCGTATAATATTAATAAGTGCAGTTACATTTGACACTTGTGATTTTACACACAATTGAGAGACTAAAATTCAATGTTAAGAACTCAACACAGCTTATCAATTGTGGTTTGGTATTTAAATTGGCTCAGAGTGTTGGAGGGAATTTTTTTTTACAACAGGTACACACGTCGCAAGCAACGAGGCGAAAAGTGTTACAGGTCGAAAAATAGCAAAAAGCGCCGGAAAATTGTAGATAAGGGGGAGGCTGCAAACACGATGAATCCGTTTTGTGTATCGATCGCGGTGCCCCTTTTTTGCGTTTTTTTTTTTACCGCACTATAAAAACACTTTTCATTGTACCTGGATTACGAAGACGGAAATGCTTCTTGCGATATGTGAAGCCTTTTTTATTCACTTTGCTTAAGAACAGGTGTGATGAAAAAGTAGTAGCAGCGAACAAGTGCAAATACTTTTTGTCGCCGTTCCACTGATGAAAAAACGATTAAAACGTAACGTGTAAGTAGAATTATTATCAGATGAGTCAAACCACGTAATTTTAAAGAATAAATTATATCCTAGTATATATAATTAGATGATAAAATTTTAAAATTTATTTAAAATTACTAATTAATAAATTAATTAATTTTTGCGTTGCAACATTTATCTGCAGACTTGGATCTTTATATGTACTTTCTTTCATTCAAAAACGTCACTACTATTGTAAAGTCACTTTACTTCGAGTTAATATACGTAAATCCACCTCGTATTGCACAGTACATTCTGATAAATCTGTTAGATCGAATTCAATCTGCCGAGCGACAAGTTTGCGTACAAATACGCCATTCCTATGCCGATGCCGAAAATTGTTTTAAAGCGGAACTGCCGGTCTGCTCATCCGAATCGCAAGATGGGCGTGAAATGTCCCTGGGAGCCAGATCCCAAAAGGCTCTTGACCTGTGTCCGAGGTATTGGACAAACGAGCAAACAAAACAGAACGAGTGGGCGGGCAAAGGATGAAGACAGCCCCGGAGTCGTTTGCCGTCGCTCTGATTTTCAATGATCGGCCGGTCACAAATAGGTCCCCGACACAACTTCGGAACAAGTGCAGCGCTGGCCTTAATCACGCATTTGCTTCCGCTAAACCCTTCTCGTAATTCTGCTCTCCTCGCTTTTTGCCCTATTTTGCATCGATAAGTAACGGAATAATTATACTACATTTAAATAGATTAGTACGCAATAATATTGTTATTCTCTACACACAAGCTATCTCAAAATAATCTATAACAAATGCTATTTTTGCGATTTACATTCAATCTTCTAATTTAAACGCGGTGTTGAAATAGTTGCAACAATTGCGCAAAGTTCTACGCAATCAATTTTTACGAAATTACGAAATTACAGTTCTAATTGTAGAAATGCGCCGTAATTACCGATTCTCATGCCAATGTTTAGACGACGTGTGTGAGAAATCGCGCGAGAGATGCAAAGGGAAGACCGCGGCAGCGTAGTAAAAGGAAGCAGATGGGGAGGAAAATCAGAAATAGCGTTTTACAGCACGAATTATTCATACTTTCCAAAAATATTCCAAATGTGTCGCGGGACTATCGTTCCCGACGAGCGCGAAGACAGGCAGATGGGATGGGCGAAACGCGGAGGTGGAAGGAAGGAAGGGAAGGATAAAAGAGCGCCCCAGCCAGAAGAGGAGGAGTGGCACGGGATTTTCGATTCTTCTGAATAGCGCGAATCGAGGAATCGCTTCGAGACGACTTTCGGGCTCGCGCTATTGTGCCGCCGGGGCCCGAAAACATCTGTAATCCGTTTAGCCGTGCAAATTTCCCATTGATCCCGATTCTCTCCTGTCAAAAACCGACGTTGATTCCTTTACTCTCACCCTCGCCACCGGGACTCGTCTCGGAAAAACACCGATCGCCGTGCCGCCGGTCGCGATAATGCCGCGTGCGTACGACGTGCGCACGTAATTCTACGCGAGTGTATAGAAATCCGCAGAGCGGATTTTCCGACAAAGATCCAAACCTGCGCTTTGTGATTCTTAGTATTATACTTTAACTTTTAATTATAATATCTGTTTCCAAGCGGCACGAGCAAACTTTTGAAAATCTTGTTAAAATAGATTGTTAAGATGTCAAAGTTTTCAATAATGTATCTCAAAATGTGATTTATATTCTTTTTAGATGGCTCGTTGATAATAAGCTATATTTAACGACAAAAATAAAATTATTAAGACAATAATATGGAAAGATCCTACACAACTTTAAATATATGGTTTTATAAAATATATTTTTAGCGTCTATTAAATACTATAAATAATTCAGATAAATATAATTTTCATAAATTTAATAAAAATATACTTCTTTATTTCGTCAAATTTGCAAAGATATCCGAAAATATCTCTCTATCGATTAAGCTACATAATTTGTGTGAGTTATAATTT